ATTTACTCCCTGTCGACCTCCCCCCCAAGAAATACTTGTTTATAGAATATTTTACCATCTGTAATGTTAAAAAGTATATGTAATTTAGTACCCAAGTCATACCTCGTTTTTAGGGTTTTTTAAGTCACTGATCATAGGTCCCCCTCTGTCTATTATCCCCCCCTTACTTACTTACTATATGTCTCTGAAGGACCATTATTTGTTTAACTTGATTGAACTTTTACATTTGGAATCTCTTTCTGGTCTATGTGTACTTTACCCAAATATAAAATTCTTGATTAACTGAGGACTTTATTTATAAAAAAACAGAATTCAAGAGACGGTATAATTAAAAAGACAAACACAATTAGGCTTTTAAAACAATAATTCATTCGGTTGATTTAATGTTCTGACATTTCGTGTGTCGTTTTAACCCATCTGTTCTTTTAAAACCCTTTCCACATTTTTCACATATTTTTTTTCTCATGTTTTTTATGAATTAACATATATGTATTTGAATGTGACGATCTTTGAAGTTACATATTTTTGAATAACTGAAAAATTTCTTGCTAAGCAATATTTTCAATTTCTGATTTATTTTCGGATTCAATTCGAATAAAAATTCTTTTTGGATTCTTACATCTCGATAAAGCAACGTATAATTTTCCGTGAAAAAATAAAGGTTTTTTAATATACAATCCTCAGGAATCAAAACTCTGTCCTTGTGATTTGTTGATACAAAAACATAGAAAATGCTAATACAAAGGGAAACTGTTTTCTTTAAAAGACAAAAGGTAATGATCATGAGGTGCCAGTATTCAATGTTATTCTAGGAATATAAACTTTTCTATCTTTTTTTCTCACGTTATTATTTCTGCTTCTATATTATACTTAAACAATTTTGTTATTTTTAATCTTGTGCCATTACAGAGACCGTCTGATGTACTGTGTCGTTATTTTGTCTACTCAATCTGTTGTGGGGGGTTGGCGGGCGGAGCGCGCAGGGGGCGTTAGCCCTACTAGTGTATATATATATATATCGCAGATTCTTAT